GTGCCAACTTTTCACAAAAAGATGATAAAAGAGGATGAAAAGGTACCAAAAAAAAATTGTCCAATAGTTTTTTTTAAGAAAAACTGCCCACTTCCTTTTCAATTTTTAATTTCTTTTCAACTATAGTTGATTAATTTCTCATTTATCAATATTTGAACAACACAATTATATAACATAAGTAACATAGACCATTGCTAAAAAAAATTTGAGAAAGACAATAAGTGAGTAAATTCAGGATGGTAGAGGAGTGACATATCCTTTGTTGCAAAATAATGGCGATCCTACCTTTTTAACAAGGACCGTGCTCAAAGTACAGGAATTCAAAATTCCTGTACTGCCAGAGAACACACAATGGGGGGGAGAGGTTTTGCCAATTTTTTATTCACATGGGGCTCATCCCCATGTGAGACAATTTCAAAATCCTGTGTCAAATCCTGTAAAATTTTGCCTGTACTCACAGCTTTATCCTTTTAACAAACCTCGTCAATTGTCTGGTGGGAGTATCCATGGAGAATGATTCCCTACTGGAATTACAAAAGAAATGGCTTCAATAAGACAATGATTTTGATATGCAAATTTTTGTAATTAAATTTTAGGGTTTTGAAAATATAATGGTAACACTCCGAAGAGATGGCAAAATTTTACGTTTATGATCTGCATCCCAGGTGGATTACATAGTTCGAGATTATGAAATTCATACGAAAAGTTAAAGATAGAATATAATTTATTAAAATCAAATCTTCGTATATATTATCAATTGGGTTAAATTTCGTACAAATATAAACTTCTTGAATATATATAAAAACCCACGCATAAATAAACATCTATTTGTAAATTAATTAATAGTTTTGCCAAATGAGGTATAATATTTGTTAAGAGCAAAATACTATGTTAAACAGCACAGACAAAGTAACGTTCATATTTGCAGAGAATCGCAGGTGGCCGACCATTTTTGCCTTTCCAAAGAAGATACCAAGCTACAAGTTAAATTTCATGATCTAGCTCATTCACGTGTGAACACTGACCTTTGCCTATTTCTTATTTACTAGA